CAAACTCCGGTGTGACCCTTCCCACAAGTGTGGCTACTCTGATCTCGCAATCTAGAATCGACAGTCTTAGACCGTTCCGGTGTCGGTTGCGACTGCACCGGAGCCTGCCTCTGCTCTCGTAACTGCAACTCAAGCTCCAACTCACGCCGCCTGGCGGCCTCCTGTAACTCTAACAAGGTCTCTCACCTCTGCGTAGACATGAACTGTCTGATATCCCTCTTGAGCATACTCAGATATCGGGAAATCTGAGCCTGCTCCGAAGCAAACTCGGGGCAAAACATCACCCTCTCAGTGAACATCCTGGTGATCTCCGTCACCGACTCCGAATCCTGCTTCAGCTCAAGGAACTCCTGAGCTAATCTCTCCCTCTCAACCCGTGGAACATAACGAGTGCTAAACATCTCTTGGAACTGATCCCATGAAACTGCAGCCCTCTGAGCATCCAAATATGACCTCGTGGTCAATCTCCACCAATCCTTCGCCCCAAGCCTCAACAGGTTCAGAGCACACCTCACCCTCTTATCAGCAGGGCATGAACACGTAAAGAAACACCCTTCCATGTCTGACAACCATCTCATAGCAACAATCGGGTCCTGGACTCCATCAAAAGTAGGGGCTTTGTATTATCGAAGTCCCGATACTGGAAACCTCTACCAGCTCCTCCCTCTGCCGCTGCAGCTGCCGCGGCAGCTGTCTCTATGAGAGCTGCATAACGCTCATCAAAATACTCAGCCATGGCGGTCTTGATCGACCCAAACAGTTCCGGAAGCTTGGCTCGGAACAACGCAGCAACCTCATCATGCAGGATCTCACGAATCCTAGCATCCAACTCGCCTGTGCTCATCTGACCAATAACCTCGAGTGGTACTGACCCGCCCTGACCTCCCTCTCCTGCTCCCCATCCGGACCCGGATCCCCTCCCAACATGCCTCGTGACCACCATACTGAAAAACACCACAAAATCTCAGATACTTCCCACTAACCTGGGAACCAACTCCCAACTCAACCCTAGAGGTCATGGTTTCCCTGATACGCATATGGGTCCTGTGCTTTCAGTAGTACGGGCCCATACTACCTTCCACACCTACCCATATTTGTATGAAGTACTACCACAACACCCTAGTGACAAATATACATAACAAGCACTTAATCCTCACTCCTAGAGGAACACTGGAAATCCTGAAGATCCCTAGCCTAGCAGGCATAATAAAACAGGCAACATTATCATGAAATCCTGAAGATCCCTAGCCTAGTACTAGCATGTTCTTCTATCAAAGCTCAAAAACAAATATCATATATGGTATTTTGGGGTTACTTACTGGCTCCGGCTGATCGTACCTCCGCGTCCTCCTTTTACTTAATTTGAAAACCATTTTAAATTCTCTTTTAAAAACTCTCCCTGATTTGAGATTGGATTCACCCGAATGTTCCTCCCATTCACTCAAACCAAGGCTCTGAAACCAACTTGTAATGACGAAAAATTTCAACAAATTTTAACTTCTAAAAAACAACCAATTTTAATAATGTTATTACAAAAAGGTTTTCAATACATTTATTAGCAGAGTATTCCCAGAACCATATCATAAACATAAACACGAGGAGCGGTACGATGACGCCTTTGCCTTGCCACGATCTCCTGAAGAACCTGAAAAAACATTAAACCACAACTGTAAGCCCGAAAGCTTAGTGAGATACCCCCAAAATACCAACCACATATACCACACACATAACATGCTATATCACAACAAATTGCAGAACAGCCATGCATATCGGGTCTACTATGTGACTGGTTCGCCGTGTCGGGCCTTCAGTCCACCTGGTCCACCCTTCGAGTCTAGTCATGTCCCTCGAGTCTGCAGTATGGTTGGTCCGCCCGCACCGGGCCTTCAACCGACCTGGTCCACTCTCTGAGTCTAAAGTATGATTGGTCCACCCGCATCGGGCCTTCAGTCGGCCTAGTCCACTCTCCGAGCCTCGGCACGTCTGGTACGCCCTCGTGGGGCCTACAGCCTATCCGGACCGCTCGCTGGGCCTTCGGAATAACCGGTCTGCCCTGGGTATGTTGGCCTACAGCACAAAGCAGGTCCCGCCTCAACCAAACCCCAATCAAACAACCTTGTGCACATAAACATATAATCATATAACAATTCACATTCAATCAAACCAATCTAGCAGATCACGTACACAACATACTCTAAGCAGGATACCGACCTAACCGGTCACTAGCATAGCATCACCCTATATACCAGGATACCGACCTTAACCAGGTCTCTAACGAATACCATCCTAACTACCAGGATGCAAACATAGTATAACAGCAACATAACAACAATACCCGGATTACAATCCGATAAAGGGTCGGCCTTGGTGCCTTAGACCCTGTTGATATAGTGAGGACAACTCAACTTGCAACTGCTGACTGGAAAGATAAGACCGAGATGCTCCGACCACTGACACGATCTCCACGACTAGCTAGCACCAACACTAAACTCAAAACAAAAGCCAACAATTACCAAAATTCCCTTAGAAGTCAACTGGTCAACTCTTGGTCAAAGTCAAAGACAAAGTCAACCTTCTAGCTGACTTTACTCGCCGAGTCAGCCCGCTGACTCGCCGAGTCCCCCAACACTGAAAAGGACCCATTTCAACTCACTGAGTCGTCCCTTGACTCACCGATTCATAGCTTAACCAGGAAAGTATAAGACCTCAAGACCAGACTCGCCGAGTCCAAGAACAGACTCGCCGAGTCCAAGGCTATCTTCAACCAACTCGCCGAGTTGTTCTTCCAACTCATCGAGTTCCTGCCCACTTTCAAGCAACTCGCCGAGTACACCCTTGTGACTCGTCGAGTACCACTAGCTCTTAACCCATAAAGAAGCCTTCCAGGCCATGCAATCGATCCAAAACGTAGATCTACCCCTCTACAATCCTTCCATCACGTAAAGTGGCAAACTTTACGTGAATCCAAAGAGATCTAGGCATTTTACACTCTAGGGCTAGGGTTTGGGACAAGATGGCTTCACCAAACACTCAATAACAGGGACTTTAATGCACTCTACACCTTCTCCATTCCATATCTGAGGTAGCGACCTCAGATCTAACCTTCAAAATCTAAATACCACAAGCTAAACTTCCCACACATCCCAAAAATGGTGAGTCTAGATGAATAGCAGCCCAAAAACGAGATAATACCTCAAAAGGAAGCCCCAACAGCAAGGAAATCCGAATCTAGGCAAAGCCCCTTACTCTAAGCCTCCTAACTCTCCAAGATCTTCCTCCGACTTTCTTCTCCAAGGCTCAAATGCACTCAAATCCTTCACAATCACGCTTCTAGGGTTTTCTGGACTTCAAGGGAAGGTAAGGAGGCTGGGGAGAGGGCATAATGTCCTTTATATAGGGCTCATCCCCTGAAATTAGGGTTTTCTTCACTCAGTGCCTACTCGCCGAGTGCAGCCTTGGACTCGCCGAGTTGGCCACTTAACAAGCGACCTGAGTCGCGACCCTACCCGCCGAGTCCACCCATGGACTCTTCAAGTTCCCCTTCATATTTACACTTTGAACCCTGAACTTGCACTCCTGGACTCGGTATGTTACAGCTAGGACCTTCCATAATTATTTTATGAATGGGATGCACTAATTGTCAACCAATCATAAAATGCCATGCATTAGCTTCATCCTTTCTGACAGAGCTTTCAGCCACCAATAGAGGTTTCTGTCACTGCACAGCTTTCAGCTACCAAATAGAGATTTCTCTCACCATGGATTGACCATCACCTTTTGTTGCTTCTTTTACGATTCCGAGCCTTGTCGCCCTTTTGTGTTTTTGTTCTTTCCTTTCTTGTTCTCATTCTCTTTCTTGCCCTTTATTTCCACTGGCTTCTCGCCCTTTTTGTTGTTGTGGTCGTACGGCTTCTTGGCCAATCTTTTGCATTGTCGAACGTTTCAGGTTTTGCATCGATCACATTCCCTTGAATTGGGGAGGTCAATCCCCAGATGAATCGTTCGATCTTCTTTCCTTTAGACGTAATCATGCCAGGGGACAGTAATGGCAGCTTGCTAAACTTTGTATGCATCTATATCAGAGTTTCGGACGGTGAGATCCCACAGCTCTTGCTCCATCTTCTGGATTTTTCCACGAGGGCAATACTCAACCATCAGCATTTCCTTCAGCTCCGTCCATGGCATAGAGTTGGCTACAGGGAGAGTCATGGCCTCTATATGTCCATTCCACCAAGTGAGAGCCTGGTCGACAAAGGTGCACGCAGCAAACTTCTCCTTCAATTCCTTGGGGCATTCACATATTTCGAACACTCATTCCACCTTCTCAATCCACCTTTTCAGGGCTATCACACCACCCGTTCCATTAAACGTTTGCGGCTTGGCATTGGTGAAATCTTTGTAGGACCATGTTTTGGTTGGTCCTTGATTGATCCCGTTGTTCGAACTTCCTGACCCTTGTCCGTTGACTCCTCCATTGTTCCCTTGCTAAATCTATGCCATTGATGCAGTAACCGCAGCAGACACAGCTGCTTGGAATGCAGTTGAGTCAACTTCTGGAAGGGTTGGTCCAGGGTTACCGCGAGTTGGTCGTCGAGGCATTTTTCTGTCATGGAACGGAAAGATGTTGAGTGCCTATGGTTTTGTGAGATTGTGATTCTATAAACTAGGTTTATATCATGTATTTAGGTAGTTTCGTATATCAACGTATAAACATAGAAGCATAGCACATAACAAGTAACCACAGCAAAAACGCATATATTTTTCATTAATAATATTCGTACTTTGTTACATGAAAATTTGCTCTAAAGAGCATACATAAGCAGTGCAAGTTCGGAAGCATAACGACTCTATTAGTAGTGTAATCACTTAAACATAGAGTCGGGGTACATAGCATAGATCACATAAGCCTAATACTAAGGATGGGTACAACTATTTCCCGTACGTTGAGGCCTATATAACAGGTAGTAGAGAGGCCCTATGAGTAAGGATGACGTCGTCGCTCAATCGTCAAGATGACGTATCAGAAGTTCAGTCGGTTCATCCGCTTCTTGGGTGATTAAATCTACTTTTTGCTCAGCTCGCACAGCCCTTGCCTTGGCCATAATAAGTTGAAGCTTTAGGCTGATAATTACCTCCTCGAGAGAGCGTAGATAGTCTGTATCAACCCCTTGAAACACGCGAGAATCTGGCGGGGTTTCCGACTGGTGATGTTCACTGCGTGCCTCCTCTATGCCCTTTTCTTCATCTGGCTCCTAGTCCAATTCATCAAGATAGAAATTAACTATTACGTATTCGTCATGTTCCTCTTCAAGTCCAATGTTGTGTGCTCCTCCTTGATCTACCTCGGGCTCATCTTCAATCATTCCATGGGCCACTAGGGCTTGGTAAAAGTGAACGCCCTAGTGCTCTCCTTCCATAGCAGCTGAGAGGAGGTATATGAATAGGCTATTATCGCTCCTAAGATGCTTTAATTATCATATAACTTGTGTTGATGTTCTACTTTTGGCAATAAAGGGGTATGTTGTTAAGTTTATTTACTATTGCAGTTTCCTCGGGACACGTGATAGTTGCACCTTGGAGGAAATGTAGTTGATCAGGCTACATCCTCTCCTTGATACAACCATGTACAGTCCCGACTTACCCGAGATGATAGCATTATCTTGTTTGGTTTGGTATTATATTTTGTTTCCTAATTCACACAGGCGAAGATGTTTTATAGTTGTGTCTTTATTTATTTTGTTTTGTTCAGAGTTGGCTTAGTCCCTTTTTGGTTTATAGTTGCATATCAATGTGTGGTTAGATATGCTAGTTCACTATCAACAATGCTCTGATACCAACCTGTCACACCCCCGAACCAGACGGCGGTAACGTCCGAGAGCTCACGTGACTTTAATTGAATATCCTCACAATGAATATACATGAATCATAACATAAACGTCACCATGCATCAATATATTACAACTGGAATTGTTCACATCAAGTACATTGTTTTAACATTACACATTCCTAACATAAATTGTTTGACTGCTTTTAACAACATAACATCTAACATTACTATTAGAACAAAGTTCTTTTAGGATCGTATGATTCTAAGCAGAATATTAAATAAGAACGTAATAAAGAACACAAGTATGGAAATGAATATGTCGAATGATTAATGCAATAACACCTCAAAAGAGCTCGATAAAGAACTTCAATCTGTAGAGGTATTTAGGGTTACAAGAATCAACGTGATTAAAAACTTGTAATATACGCATACATGCATGCATATATATATTGAAACCCTAACAGCTAATCTAGATAACAATGAAACTAATCTAGATAGACACGGATGGACAGTCCCAATCCGGATACAAAATATATAGCCCAAGACGCAACACAAATGGACTCAACAATCTCCCCCTTTGCGTCTTTGAAGCCGAAACCTCATTCCTTTTTAACAGCAGGAGGCTTCTTTACAGTTTTGAACACCTTCGGTATAATGGCTAACATATGATGGAGAAAAGTAATATACCACTGAAGCATGTCAGTAAAGTTCTTCTTATCAGCCGCTGAGTTCTGCTTGCATCGGTGTATGATACTGATGATATGCTCCAAATAGCCTGTGGAAAACAGATGCGTATCAACCAGAGCAAATAGAAACTTGTGTCCTCCACCTTTCGTGAACATGACAGTTATATTTTCTGAATCTATCTGTCCCAATTTCATCCTGTTAACATCACCAAGTTTAGGTGTTGGCTTCACAGTCGGCTTTCTATTCATTACCTTTGCTATCTCCTGATCCATAGTTGCAATCTCATGGATATAGGAGGCCAACATTCTTTTAAGATGTTCTAAAATCGGCACATACTACTTAAGATTAGAGAGCAAAATGTTGTATAGCAGAATCCAGTCATGTGGATTAAGGTTAGGAAGATTTGCCAGAGAGATGATAGACACCGTGTTTGCTGAACCACAGGTGATTTTGAAATTGACATTTACAAATCTCCCAATAGGTGAAGGTTTTAGTACCTTGATTGTTATAATCTTATGTGCACTCCAAGTCAAGTATTGTGGTTGACCATTCTTCAAGTAAAAATCGATCAATTCCCTGTCAACCTTCGGTGTGGATGCGGAACCTCAACAGTCGCCTCAAAGCAGTGAAATGTAAAAGCTTTTCTGGTAATAGGCATATCAAACTGCGAGTCTTTATAGTTATCACAATCAAACGAAGCAACTGGTTCCAATCGATAAACAGAAGGAAACTCAGTCGCTTGATTGATAAGTGTGTCTCTGTTCCATTCAGGAAACAAAGCCTTCTTGCATTGCAAGGCATCCTCTTCTTCCTTAGTTTTCTGTTCTCGCTCCTCTGCTTCCCTAACAACTTTCATCGTTTCATCAAGCTCTCTATCTCTCTTCTTTCGTTTCAGAGCATCCGCTATTGTTTCTTCAACATCACTGTCACTGTCATCATGAATCTCTTTTTTCTTGGATTGAGAACCATAACCCGAAGCTAAATTAACCTTCGGTTCTGTTGTGACTTTCGGGTGTACACCTTCTATCTTCACAATCGGTCTTGTTTGAACATGACGAGCACTACTCACTCCCCCTTGTTTTGGAGGTACAACTCCCTCCGAAACACCTTTCATTTCACTTAAAATGGCACTAGTAGGGAGGAGTTTGGATTGAAGATGATTCCGAATAGTCAGAGTTAATATCGGATCATGCGCTTCAAGCAAATTTGTTAGCAAGTCTTTCACATCTCTTGCACAACTTTTATAAACAGCCCTCTGAGTTTTCAACAAGGAAATTTCTTTCTCTGCTTGGGCCATCTGCACTTTCTGAACATCAATGGTTGCTTGCTGTTTAGCCAACTCCTCCTTCAAGGCACTCTCGGTTGCAAGATTAGCAGCAAGAGCATCAAAACGAGAATCCACTGATTGTAAGAAAGAAGTGGTTTATATTTTGAGCTCAGAACGTACAGCCTCAAACTTAGTAGTTTCATCGTGAAGGGACTTAGAAAAAGAGTCCATCGAGGATTGATACTTTGCTGCATTGGTGTCAGCATGAGACTTCAACGAGTCAAGAAAAATCTGAGTTGTATGAACAACCTCAGAAACTTCTTTGGTAGCCTGCTTACAGGTAGAGGTAGACGCATTAACTATCGCCGTAGATTTGTCAATTGCCTTGGTATACTGTGTAATGGTTGTCTCCATAAATGCTTTGAGAACAACACCACCATAGGCTTTGCTATCGACAAGCAATCGATCCAACTTCTCATGAATGCTCTGTAGTTGTTGACCTGTGATAAGAGCATCAGCCTCATCATCGGTTGGAAGTTTATAAGGACTGTAGTAGATCGATTCAAATTCCTCATCGTCTCCCCCAAGAGTAGCACCAGAATCATATGATGGGGTTGGTGAAGGTGGTATGTTAATGACTGGAGTTTCAGTCACAGTAGTAGCCCCTGTATCAGATACATTGACTTCCACTGTGGATTTGGGAATGGTAGTGGTTGTTGATTCGGTTATGAGTGGATAAGATAAGGGTATAGTAGAAATAGTAACTGAAGTAATTGGTTGTGGGATTAGCAAAGTTGTTGCTTGAGTGGTAAGGGGTGTAGTAACAGTGGGAACATAAAGTGGAACAGTCTGTTTCGGCGATTGGGGTGGAGTTGGAACTTTGTTGTGATTTGGAGATTCTGGTGGAGTAGGAGAACGTGGAGGAGTGGGCTCTTGGGGTGAGACATGGCGAACCTCTTCTTCCTCACTTTGCTCATCTGCAAGATCTGTGCTTGGAGGAGTGTTCTCCCTAGGTCTGCGAGCCATCTTCTTTATTTTCTTCTATTTCGGTTGAGAAGAATCTCCTTCACTAGACTTGCGTTTAGAGGACTTGGACTTACGTTCCTCAGGATCCTCTTTCTTTGAAACTTTCTTTCCTCTGTTGGAAGGCTTCTCCAATGCATCCAAAGCTGCTTGCTGCTTAGGAGACAGAACTCTCGGTCCGATAGGAGGAAGTTTCCTATAGTTGTTGGGTCAAAATATGGTTTATACTTTACTTTTCTGGGCAATTATATTTTTGTGTAATATTTATGAATTTATGGTCATGTTTACGGTTGAGTTTACGGCCGTAAACACCTTACGGCCGTAAACCCATTTACGGCCCATGTCCACCAAGCCCATATTCTCCAAGTATAAATATAGGTGTTAGGGTGAGGAGTACAGATTGATAAACCCTAGAGAGTTTACGGCTAGAGAGAGAAACAGGAGCTTTTATGTGTGTGTGAATTCTTTGTATCCGATTCTTCATTCATATCAATACATACAAAGATTCATATTATTCTTTTTCTTCTTCTCTTCTATTTGATCTGACATCATCCGTTTGGTTGGGATTCCGCACCATCAAACGGATCTGACTGATACACGGGCAGATTAGGGACTTACAATTGGTATCAGAGCCAAGTTGTATCAGTCAAAAGGATTTATTGTTTCATCCAAAAATCGAATATTCTGTGTTTACGGTCCAAGCTTACGGCTGTAAACACCGAGTTCTTGGGCCGTAAACTCTATTTTGGAGCATTATTTGATCTTATTTTCGAAATATTTTTGCGTTTTTGGATAGATCTCGCAAAAATAAGGGGGGTTTGTTCTTTGTGTTTTTCATAAAATAAAATAAAATAAAAAAAAATTAAAAAAAAAGGTTTTTGATTGAGTTTTGGAGCTTCAAAGTCGAAAAATCGTTGTTTTTCACGTAATTGTTGAAGGATTTTCGGCCGGAGCTTACTGCCGGAAACAGTTCACGACCGGCGGCGGGGTTCGGGTTTACGGCTAGGGTTTCTAAGCTTGCGGCTCGGTTGGGAGTATACGGCTCGGAATTTGCGGCGGCTCGGCTAACAGCAGCTCGCATCAGCGCCTTCTTAAAAATTGAAACGGGATTAGGGGGGTGCCGGGATTCGAACTCGGGACTCCCCATAGATGTCCAGCGCCTTACCAACTCCTCTACACCACAAGTTGATATGTTCCTTCCCCATTTAATTGATAACTCGTCTTTCTCGCAGCAAGTTTTGATTTTTGACACTTTTAACCCCAAAATTCAATTCCTTTTAATTTTAAATTCCTTTTTCATCCAAAATAATAAAAAATAATAATAATAATAATAGATAAATAAAATAAATTAAATTAAAATTAATAAATAAAATTATATTTGAATTTTTGACTTTTATTTTTTAACTTTTGACCTTAAATTTTGACTTTGACTTTTTCGTTTAACTTTTAAAATTTCAAATTTAACTTTTCGATTTGACTTTTAAGTTTGACTTTTGAGTTTAATTTTTTAAATTTGACTTTTAAGGTTGACTTTAAAAAAAAAAAGGCATTTTAAATTTGACGTTTAATTTTTATCTTAGCTTCTAGTTGTGCCTTTTAATTGATTTTAAGGTCTACGAGAGAGTTGAAAATATGAAAGAGAGCCGTCAGGATATCTTAAGACAAAATTTCAACATGTTCGATTATATCCCTGGAGAAACCCTGGAAGCTCAGTTGCAGCGATTTACCACACTCACTTCTGAGATGAATATTGTTGGGATCTTTTTGACCAAATCTGAGATAAACAAAAGACTATTGAATTCACTTCCAAAATCGTGGAATATGAATGTAGCTGTCATCAAGAAGACAAAAGATCTCAATCGTCTTAGTATTGCTGAAGTAATTGAAGAGCTTGACGCTTTAAAGAGTTCTGTAAACCTTCCGGTCACTGAAGTGTCATGTTCTCATTCATGTGAAGTTTCATGTTCTCAATCATGTGAAGATACGATTAAATTTCTTTGGGATCAAATTGATTTATATAAAAGAGAAGTTGAGGACCTGTGATATGAAGGATATCAACTCAGGAAAGGACATAAACCCCTGAAGGCCGAGTTGGAAGCAAAAACCAAGGACTTTAGGAAACTTCAGGAAGAGTACAGCAACAAGTGTGAAAATTATGATTATGTTAAGAGTCAACTTGCTGCTGTAACTGAAGAACTTGACGCTTTAAAAATTAAGTGTGGAAAAACTGATGTCAGTTTCAAAAATTACACTGCGTCAAGTCAGACAGTCAAGTCCTTATATGAAACCCAATTAAAATTCAAAGAAAATCAAAACAAGGGTCTAGGGTATGATAGTGTACCTCCTCCTTATAATCATAACTACATATCCATCCCTATGACACAGGACAAAACTGACAGGGAGCCGCATCTTCGATATGGAAAACGAGTCGGATTTGTGTCACGAGGAGTTATTAATGTTGAAAATACTGATGTTTTTGTTACATGTGCAGGTAAAGTAGCAGAGGATGAGAACAAGGAGAGCTCTTTTGAACAAACCAATGACTCCTTGAACTCTGAATCTGTTGCTTCAAACTCAACTGCTTCTAATCAACCTGCCGTTGGTAAATACAGGCCACCATTTCAAGCTAAACAAAGTGCCTGTTACAACTGTGCGTGTGGGAAAAATCAGAGACAAGGCAAAGATACGCCACCATGGGCAGGAAGAGATAACTTCACAGTGAAGAAAAAGACTTGTTTTCACTATGGAACACCTGGACACATTTCCAGAAATTGTCCTAATCGCGCATATGTTCCTTACTATGCTCAAGGCCGGCAGAACACGACAAGTGGTAGATACTTCAAAAGAAATCCTTCTAGTTCACGTTCAGACCATGATGACTGGAATGCGCACAAGGCCAAGCATCCAACTCCCAAGAACAAGAAGGGAATGCCGGCCTAGAAGTCTAGTTCAAGAGATGCTCCAGTGAAGCCAAGACCAGTTAGGTCAAAGTCATCTCGGCAGCCGGCTTCAAGTTCCAAATCAAGTGCCGAGGAACCTATCGGATCGAAAAAGAAATGGGTTAAACCCGAATATAGATGGGTACCAAAGGCTCACTCTCCTAAATCTTCTAACGATTCTAATATTTCTACATCTTCTGTTTGTGATAAGCAGGACATGTTGTGGGAGAGGGTATCGTGCGTTGATGACAAAGGTCGACCCAATTTTAAAATGGACTGGGTTCCAAAGACCAATTAATCCCGCTCTGTGTCGGAGCAGCTATGGAGGCATATCATCAGACTTTGGTTTGTTGGTAGTGGCTGCTCCTGGCATATGATAGGGGACATCTCTCAAATATACAGCACTCATAACTTTGTTGAGAGTATGTGTCCTTTTGCGGGAAAGGAAGAAAATAATGGATCACATGGAGTTAGTGCTTAATGATATGAAGAATTTTCGGATCTGTTCTGAGATTATGCTTGCTGTTCTCAGACCTTCTGAATGCAGATTCAATCGGTGAATTACGGTTTGCGTTTTCTTCTCTATACTCCTAAGTTTTTCTTAACCTGATTCGCTTTAAAGACTAATTTTTGTTTTAGGATAGTTTAAATTTGTGCATTTACTTTCGTTTCTCTCCTATGCACAAATTTAGGGGGAGAAATAAAAACAAAACAAAAAATAGAAATTTTCAAAAACCCAAAAACATTAGAAAATCAAAAAATCCAAAAATATGTTGGTTATGATATGTGCTTGTAGGAGATGTTATAGGAAGTGATACTATCAAGTGATAATAGGCAACCTGAGTCCGCGTAATGTACCCAAAGTTGAAGGGTCTTTGCTCTGACTTGATGCGTCGGTAGGCACGAAAGATTCTAAATGGACATGACTAGGCAGAGTTGAACTTAAAAATTTATAGACTTGACAAATTTTGACCTAGTTAGATCCGTTCAGCCTGACAATACGACGCTCGGATAGGTTGAGCAGGGAGATATATATGAGAATCTGCTCGTCACATTAAATGAACCCGTACTTGGAATCGTGGTTTAACTTTTCCTCAATGTGCGGATTCTGTCCCTAATTTCGGTTGGATGGGGGGCGACTGGTAAATTCTGATAAATTAGGTCTGTAGAATATCATTTTCTTTCTCTCTGTCTGTTAGTCATATGTTGCATCCTTTGCGTGATTGGAAGAGATCCGACCTGGATTGCAACATATGCAACTCTATTTCTCTGCAAGTTATATATATGAAATTCTTCTTATCTGTTAGCCATATGTTGTCTCCTTTGCGTGACTTCAAATCTGACCTGGTACACAGCATATGCAACATTCTACTTCTGAACCCCTCTAAAGTAATAAGTTATAGAATTCTGAATCTATCTTCTCTCTGAATGATTGTCTGCTCACCCGGTGTAAGGAGTACTCTGGAAGTTCTTGATGGCTGGGGCATATCAGGAAGCGGGAAACACGTTCTAGTACACTTAAAATTGAACAAATACAGATTGTCTGTAGATCTCGCTACTCGATTTAGGTGGACAACAATACCCCTGGTCGTCGTCAGTTGAATGGTCCTTAAGATATAGTATCTAAGAAATTAGGATCAGATGTAATTTTAGGATTTTAAGTTCATCCTGTCTTGTAACAAATAGTATGTCCTAAATTTGTCACAATTTTTCATGTTTAAGTGGACCACAATACCGACGATCGACCAGACAAAGACGTGAAGATAGAAGGTACCGACAAGTGGATAAAGGCTGTCTAAAAACTTTGATTCCAAATCACTCTTAAACTTAGATATCAATTTTATTTTTGTTAAATTTGTCATAGTTTCTTCTAATTTAAATATTAGGGAAAATATAAAATTTTAAAATAATGAAAATAAAATAACAAAGAAAAATCAGAAAAATTAAAAATCCAAAATAGTGTTATTTCTGTTTAGTTTCTTGTTCAGAAAAATAACAAAAAATCCAAATATATTTTTGTTTTTGTTTTAATTTGTGTGCTAAGTTTTCTTTTAGTTTTGTTTTGTCTTGAAAAGTGATTTCAGGTATAGATAAGACTCATGAAGTTTGTTGAAGATTTCTAAGCCAAAGCCTCGTCCGTGAGCATCGAAGAATTCGCATTCGAAGGAGAAAGAAATGAAGATTATTCTTTCAAAATTCAATCCTTCAACCCTAGAAGCAAGGTGAAGCTAAAATTGAAGATTATGTGACGGATTGCATTGAAGCCTTCTCAATCAGTCTGTTGCTATCGTTGTACCTGTTGAAGTGATCCAGAAGATTTGTTCTCTCTGATGTTTTCTTTGAAGATTCTTAAGTTGAAAGCGCTATCTTTCAAGAATCAGTACGTCAAGTCTCCTCACCAATGTGCGTTCAATGCCAAATTCTGAAGAAAGGCTCAATTTCTCAAGATGAAGTCATTCATTGAAGATTCATATGCTCATCGTGATGTTGTGAAGAATTTGAAGATTAAAGCTGAAGCCAAAGCTCCCAATGAAGATTATCAAGAAATCCAACTATTTTTTAGGGGGAGTTTGTTGGGTCAATTAAGAAAAGAAAGCTATAAACCAAGGGGGAGATTGTTGGGTCAAAATATGGTTTATACTTTAGTTTTCTGGGCAATTATATTTTTGTGTAATATTTATGAATTTATGGTCATGTTTACGGTTGAGTTTACGGCCGTAAACACCTTATGGCCGTAAACCCATTTACGGCCCATGTCCACCAAGCCCATATTCTCCAAGTATAAATATAGGTGTTAGGGTGAGGAGTACAGATTGATAAACCCTAGAGAGTTTATGGCTAGAGAGAGAAACAGGAGCTTTTATGTGTGTGTGAATTCTTTGTATCCGAGTCTTCATTCATATCAATACATACAAAGATTCATATTATTCTTTTTCTTCTTCTCTTCCATTTGATCTGACATCATCCGTTTGATTGGGATTCCGCACCATCAAACGGATCTGACTGATACACGGGCAGATTAGGGACTTACAATAGTCAGCCAAGACATTGCTCTGTTCTGTAACACAACGATACATGGTTTCAGGAATCGTTCCATAATGAGGAAACTTGCACAGATCAGAGAGAATTATCTTCTTTGTATGAAATGTGGCAATAGAAGCAAGTAGAGCATCATGCATGATCGGAATCTCTAAAGAATCAATTGCCT